GTCTTGTCACTCGCTGGTATGTATCAGAAGAGCCTGGACCGTTCTTCGTTCGGAAGAGTGACGCTTGCGACAAAGCTATAGCCTTTCCGGGAGTAACCTCTTCCTTCGCGCTGTCTTCGGCGCCCTGTGTATTCGAACCAGCAACAGCGGTGGTCTTCTGTGGCACCTCAAACCGGAATGCGCGAAGATGCTGATTGTTGTTCTTTTTCTGCTGTTCGACCGAGCTATTTATACCGGCAAGGGCAACAAGCAAGCCTGCCTTGTCCCCAACCAGCGGGGCCGCAGCCAGCGATGTTACCGAGTCTTCATCGCGCGATAGGTTCAATTCAACGGCCTCTGTGATCTCGCTGCGACGCGATGTGTCAAGCAAAGACTATACAGAAAACAACGATTAGCATTCGCATGTCGAGAGAGGGGGTTTCCTCGAAATAGTGGGACTTGCGATCTTGTTTCCAACTCCACTACGCCCCTCGCCGCCTCCGCCGCCGACTAGAAGTCGACCGCTATTGCGAGGGTCAAAGTCTGCAGCGAAGAGCGGACACGAGAGTGTCAATTTGGCGGAGTGTACTGTGGGCGCCATTGTTGTAGACCAAGTAGAGTGTAAAGAGGACAGATGGGATGACGGAGGTGCCCCGGATTCTTGGCGCGGTGGCCGGATCTGGGTACGCCATGTCTGGTTAGCGTGATGAACGAAAAAAAAAAAAAAAAAACTATACTGTATAGATCTACAGATGACACTGCACTGCTCTGCTTTGATAGATATGGGAAGAAGATGAAATTAAAAAAAAAGTGAATAATATTTTAGCATGCACTAAGTATTCTAAGCCTCGATTTCCTGGGAAGTGAACTCGGGCAGGCGCTTGCGGATATCCTCCCATGTCTCATCGCCCTCAACAAGCGACTTGACAGCCTGCAGGATCTCGTCCTCGCTGGCACGGACCTGCTTGGTGGTATCGCGGTCACGCAGGGTGAAGGTGCTGTCCTGGACGGATTGGAAGTCAACGGTGATACCGAAGGGTGTGCCCAGCTCGTCGTTGCGAGAGTAACGCTTGCCGATACTGGCGGAAGAGTCATCGACACGGTTGGAGACACCGGCCTTGCGCAGCTTCGAGGTCAGACGCTGGGTCAGAGGCTTGAAGGAGGCGTGGGTGGAGAGGGGAACCAGCAGGACCTTTGTGGGGGCAACAGCAGGAGGGAAAGAAAGGACCTATAGAGAGTATCGTTAGTACCAGCGCTCATGGCAAAAGAATACAGAAAGGAAAACCTACACCACGGGTCTCATCACCGGCGCGGGACCAGTAGGAGTGCTCGATAATACTGTACAGAATACGTCCAATACCGAAGGAGGGCTCGATCACGTTGGGGGTGTACTCGCGGACATTCTCAACACGGGTACGCTTCTCAATCTTGATCAGGTCCTTCTCGATCTCAACCTTGCCAGATCCAACACCCTCAACATCGACCTCAATCTTGCCATCCTTCTGGAGGTCAAGAGACAGCTTCTCGCGCAGCTCTTGGGACAGAGCCTCAATAGCTGCCTCGACGGTCTTGGCGTCCTTCTTGAACTTGGGACCGAACTTCTTCTTCTCGAGGTCAATCTGGTACTCCTCGATACGCAGAGGCTCAGTACGGGCCTGGCGCACCACGAGAGGGGCACCGGTCTTCTCCTTGTGAACAGTCAGATCGTAAGCGGAGCGGTCAGCACAACCGACACACTCAATCCAGCCGTAACTGGTCTGCAACTCGGCATCCCAGCAGTCAGTAGCATAGTGAGCCATCTCATTGGCCATGTGCTGACGGAAGCGCAGCTTAGTGGGGTCAACACCCAGCTTCAACAGGAAGGACTGAATGCGGGCCAGGAAATAGCCCAGAGTCTCGTTGTCGACCAGTCCGGTCTCAACGGCCTTGCCGATGGTCATCTTGGTCAGCTTGGTGCTGCCGGACAGCTGCACATTACGGTCGAGCAAGGTCAACTCAGTATCCTTGACCTCATCGAAGCGAGCGTGCTTCTTGCCACCCTCTGGGTCGACGTAGTGCTCAATCTCAGCCATCAGGAACTCGCGCACACGCAGGAGACCGGCGCGGGGGGAAATCTCGTTACGGAACGACTTGCCAATGGAGGCAGAGGCGAACGGCATCGACTGCTGGTTGAACTCCAGGAGCTTAGCGAAGTTCAGGAACTGACCCTGGGCAGTCTCGGGACGCAGGTATCCAGGCATATTGGCGCTGGGGCCAATGGAGGTCTGGAACATAAGGTTGAAGGAGACCGGGGGCAGCACTTCGCCGCCGGTGACGGGGTTGCGGATGTCGTGCTTCTTGATGAGCTGCTCCAGCTCGGGACCACCGAAGTTGTCAATCTGTGCGAGGGTCTCCTCGTACTCCTTGACCAAGGCATCATCCAGCTTCTTAGCCTCGGTGCCCTTGGCCTTTCTCTTCTTCTTGGCCTCCTTCTCCTCGTCCACCTCAACTTTCTCGCCGCGCGCCTGCTTGTCTCCCTTGAGGCGGGCCTCGAGAACCTCCTCAACCAAGTGGTCAGCACGGAAGATCTCGCCAGTCTTGGGGTCCTTGCACATCCAGTCGGCGAACTTGTCCACATGTCCACTGGTCTTGAGGATGTCGTGGGGGGTCAGCATGGTGGTGTCGACCTCGAGCATATCCTCCTCGAGCACGAAGTGCTTGCGCCACAAATCGGTCATGTTGGCGATCAGGGCGGTTCCAGGTGGGCCATAATCGTACAGACCGGACACACCACCGTAAATTTCGAAGGAGGGGGTGTAGAACATGCGGCGGCGGAGCATGGAGTCCAGCACCGTGCGGTCGACGGCCTGGCCGGTCTTGGTATTGACGGTAGCCATCTTGACGTTTCGTTTGAGGGTCTTCGGGGGAGGGGTGTAGGTCCTAAACTGAGTCCGAAAGAAAGACGGAGGGGAAAGAAAAGAGCGGGGGGGAAATCGCAGGCGCGGCAATTGAGTCATCCACTATGCAGCCCCTCAGACACCACCGAGAGGACAAAAAGACAAGGGGTATAGAACGAGAGAGAGCGACCAATTGGGTCAATCTTTTTCTTTTTCTTTTTATTCAGGGGATTGATAACCGCACCCTTTGAATCCTCGCACGTCCTGTCTATATTTTTAGTACCGCCTTCCTAATAGGGGTCGGCGCTAATTTCTGCCATGTTTTCTGCCACTACTATATGAATTCTAGTTTATATCATGTTCGTGCCTCTATTCTTTTATGATTGACTTAATTGGGGAATCTGGTCATATGCCTGACTAATCTTGTCCATTCTTAGTGCTGAAGCACTCGGCCTAGCTGCCTGCACAGCTTAGGAGAGATAAAGATGGAAAGAGATAGGAAGATGGAGGGACATGAGGGAAGATAAATAGAACAAGGTCAAAGAAGTGCAAAAAGTGGGAGAGGTAGAGGGAAAATTGCAGGAACAAAATTAATGAAGGACATAATGGTGTCGCATTTGGTCTGGCCGAGACGGGCTAGTTAGGAACGAACCAGGATGTGCGACCTTGATCTAAAACTGGATCTGTCTGGAATTGCGTATCTGTCACTATTGATAGAGATCAACCACCCGAGATTTTTCATGCTCTTTGCGATATCTATGATACCGTCATTTGATCAAATGCTTCTAAGCTCCGGTGCAGATGTCACAACTCTCACGGGACCAGTACTCAATGCCCGCCGCCTTGGCTAGTCGCTATGGCCACACATGGTGACTTGACTGATAAAAAGTAGCGCTAGTGGAATGCTAGTTTGGCTTCAGAAACTTTTCGTCTTTACTTGATGTCGCATCAACACCTTGATACGTTTTCATCCGGAGAGTATCAAGGGATGTGTTAGAAGACAAGAAGATAAGGTAGGACAGATGGTCAAGCAACCGTAATTCCTGATTGGGGGAGTTGGAACGTCTGTGGTATCTTTGAAGTGATCTTAGACGATTCTGATAGCATCTAGGAGTGAATAGTAAAGCACTGTCTACTGGGGTATCTAAAATAACTTTATGTCTTTGCCTTCCAGGAACGGGCTTAATGGTGACTTTGGTAGCGACCACCTAGCCAAGAGATGAAGATCAGGAAGACTCAATTTGACTTATGCAATTTTTTATGATAGCGGAGCCTATAACGTCAGGCCGGTCTAATAACCAGATATAGCCGTCGAAAATGAGACCTGCCAAACAGGATTTAAAGGTATTTGAGCTTACCAAGGAGGATTCAGCTTTGAATTGAAGTATAGACTCAAACTTTTGAAAAAAAAAAAAAAAAAAAAAAAAAAAAAAAAAAAAAAGAAGGGCTTATAATCGTCCACCCGCAAGAACAAAGCATTCTGCACCGAATTCTGCTATTTAGTGGGCAATTGCGGCTAAGTGGAGGGTACACTATCATGTAGAGACTTCGGAAATCGTACGATCCTTGATTTATTTGTCAAATCAGATAGATAAAGATGCAGTAGACATGAGATTAAGGGACAGAAGATAATAGTCATGTTCCTCGTATTGTGGACTTCCACACTCCGAGACAGGCGCTTTGCTAATTTTCGTTATGAGAGGCACTGAGCAGCAACTCGTATTGAATCTCTGAAAAGTGAAGATCTTGTAAGACAAATTTAGTTTTTGTAGGAGGGAGTATAGGAAATTTTGACTATGGACGGCCCAGATAGTCAAGGTTTATACTCTGTACGTCTAATACATCAGGTCCAATCAGCGACGCCATGGGTACGGGACAGGCCCCACATCATGCACCATGGTGGATGCCAAGGTTATAACAGACTTGAATAAACACTACAACTACCACGGTTATCATATACATAGAAAAGTCTCTTGCACAAGATGTGCTTTTTGCACTGCCTTCGTATACATTAAAAAGACATCCAAAGGCAACATCCAAAGAGACATCACAAGCCCATTTTAGCGGGCGACTATGCTTGTAACAAATCAATGGAAGCACGGGTAAATATTCGTTATATTTAGATCTTCGTTTAATGCAGTCTCATCATTCCCACCCTTTAGTGTCGAGCCACCATTCATCCTTTTCCGGTGGCTTGATGAGTCCGAATAAGGCAAAGTTAGCATCGGGGCATTCTTCAGTAGGCTCAACGAAGGCGGCTTGCGAAAACCCTGAGATGTGCCTAAGAGACTGGAGTATAAGTTACTTGATGTGAGTATACTGAGCATCACATACAGTTCTTCGGTCAATGTACCAAAAATGAGCTTCGATATTGAATGTATGCGTGGCTTGATGCCGCAGCGTAAAAACTTTCTAATGTATGCGTTGAATTTAGTCTCTGACACGAGAAATACAAAAAGAGGTTTGGATGGACATCAGAGTAAGCTACGGGCAAATTTTTTCGAATAGACTCACGCATATAATCGTTCATATTCCAGAACTCCTGATAGTCTAGGGGCTCTCTGGGGGCATTTTCCCAGACAACAAATGTGATAAAGCCTCCTGGGACCACCGGGCCATTGCATTTTCTCTTGAAAACCGAGCAGGTCGGGACAACATCACAACACATCTTCTTCAGTCTCTTCAGAGCCACTAGTTCGATGATTGATTTCGTCTAATTGATTTCGTCGGTACGGCCTGTTTAGCTCGAGTCTCGGACTTAGAAAACTCTGGTCTATGCATGGGGAGTTGGGCGGAGATGCGCATAAACGCCTGCTTCTTGCTCGGGTCATCGGCACTATAACAAAGGAATTTACCCGCGGTGTATGCAGGGCCGTGACCAAATTTAATATTTTCCTGGGTGGTGGCTATAGCTGTTTCTTCAAGCTTCTAGGTGATGACCCAGGTTCGGCAGGGCAAGGCGGGGCGATCTTCGGCTTCATACTTCTCGTCGGTACTGACCGTGGTGTCATCACGGTCAACAAGGAAATGGGGGTCGCCGTACTGCATCTTGAATTGATGAAATGGTGTTATGTAAAAAAAAAAAATTTGATAGATGGAAAAGGTTGAAAGGCTGGGTGTTGCAGGAGAAAAAGTTGACAGACTGGGATATGGGCCCCCCTTAGGCCCTAAACAGGAACCAAGGTTTTTGTCATGGTCTAGTGGTAAAATAGGCTGTATGTTTCCCACAGAAGTGAGTTGATGAAGGAAGCGTGACGAGTGCGTCCTGGCAACTAACAGTGAAACCCTGAAGTAACTAGATCCGTGGACCCGTGGACGATCAAATTTTTGACTAGTACTAGGTAGGCGTCAATCAAAAACTACCCATCTTTTGACTGTTTCTCTAAGCTTGTACCAATGAAGCACAGGGATTATACTATATCAGTTGCCTAAATCTCGGTGCCTTTATGGATATCTGTGGATCATTTCTTGGCCACGAGGTTGATCCTTTGAGTATGGACTAATGAGGACTGGATGCTCAATAGTTAACTCAGTTAACTACATAGCTACCTAGGTGGACGGAGTATGTAGTTAATCACTCATTGGGGTTGTCTGATTAGTCACGTGTTGAAGCTGAACAGGTCACTGAGCCTGATTCTGATCGCCCTCATAAAAGCGGTGGCAGCTAAGAAAAGGAAAAAATATGGTACATAGAAGTCACATAGTTGTATATATCTCCGATTTCTAGCTAATACCCTTCTTTATTTATTTTTCTTCTAAAGAGGAGGTCTTAAAAGTCGCAAGGTCAAATCGCAGATTGTCGCCCCGGGGAAACGATTGTCCGAAATAATTTATTTCTCGGCGATCTTTACATTTTCTATTGGCCTTCAACAGCAGCACTCTACCCCCTCAGCTTTCAAAAATGGTTGTCCCTGGACGATCTGGACCGCCTCCGGGCGTTATGGGCGATATTAAAACCGGCAACAAGCTGCGCCGGAAGATGAACCATGTTAAGCGCAAGAGAGCCAAAGATGCTGCGCGCCGAGAGGAGCGCTACGCTTTCAAGAAAGAAGAAGCCAAGAACCCCAAGTTGAAGGAAGAACGACTTCGCCGCAACATTCCTCTGACCCTCGAGCGGAAACGTGTATGGAACGAAGCCGACAACGACACCGAAGAAACTGGTCTGGGATTGAGCGTTGACGTTGAGCGCATCAAGCGCGCAAAGAAGGAAGAAGAAGACGAGCTCAATCGGCCATTAGAAGAGGGCGAGGATGATAGCGAGGCTCCGGAATCAGACAACGAGTCAGTCGACAGTATGCTCGAATCGGACAACAGTGAAGATGAAGATGAAGATGAGGGTGAGGAAAAGGACGACGACAAAAATGCTAGCCGTGGCCGGAAGAAGACCTCTCTCCGAACTGCGACAGAGCGTGCCACAAGTCCTACCCAGTCCACACGCAGCACAAACCTCAGCCTCGCTCCTGAAGCATTGGCCGCCAAATTCCCTACACTCTTCACCGAGGGACCCCCACCCACCCCGAAAATCCTTATCACCACCGGCCTCAACTCTACCCTTCACGACCAAGCCGAGACCCTGACCGAAGTGTTCCCGAACAGCGTGTACATCCGGCGTAATGCTCACCGCTACTCGCACAAATTCTCAATCCGCGAGATTTCCAAATTCGCCGCAAACCGTAATTTCACAACGGTCGTCGTGTTGAATGAGGACCAGAAACGTCCCTCTGGGCTAACGATGGTGCACTTGCCAGTCGGCCCGACTTTCCACTTCACCATTAGCAACTGGATCGAAGGAAAGCGCCTTCCAGGACACGGCCGAGCCACCGAGCACTGGCCCGAGCTGATCCTCAATAACTTCCGTACCCCTCTCGGTCTTTTGACTGCCCATTTGTTCCGCTCACTCTTCCCACCTCAGCCGGAGTTCGAGGGGCGACAGGTTGTCACTTTGCACAACCAGCGTGATTACATTTTCGTCCGTCGTCACCGCTACGTCTTCCGTGAGAAGCGTGAGACCGAGAAGGCTGTCGTTGGTGCTGACGGCAAGGAAATGCTAGGTGCTGAGGGCATCCGCACCGGTCTACAGGAACTAGGACCACGCTTCACTTTAAAGCTGCGTCGTGTTGATAAGGGCATCCAGCGTGCCAGTGGCCAGGAGTGGGAGTGGAAGGGTGGAATGGAGAAGACGAGGACTCTGTTCCAACTGTAAATGTCTCTTTATGTTGTTATTCTCGGTTTTGCATGGGGTTCGAGGGGAGTTATATCCAAAAGCTTGTCTGGTTTCATTGCAATGGACAAAATTCACGTATTCTACAAACCTTCATGGACACTTACTCTACAAGACATGGAGGCCGTGCCGGCTCCATGGTTGGTTACTTATACAAAAACATTCATTAACTGTTCCTCTTCAAGACCAAACTCCCTCCCAAAACGTACGAGGATGACCGGTGATATCTTGTCACATGATATGGCGATGCTAACGTCTTTTTTTCATTCAAGTTAATCCGTTACATCCATCTTAGTAACCAACGAGACGCATTCAATGCACTCGACCATTGACCTCTCAACTAGATTGAGGCGTCGACCGATGTCCTTAGTATCATGAAAACAAGTGCCATCAAAGTGGTGTACCAAGATACAACGAGTCAATTGGGATCGTGGTGCATCAACTGCTCTGTAGCACTCTGCCTCGAATCTGGGCAAATCTACCTGTGCAATGGTTCCAATCCTTCTCTTCCTACGGAGGATATGAGAGCAAGAGAGCTGCATAGAAAAAGCAAAGTTGTATAGCCAAGCTTGCCGGTAGTTGGTGTTACATATCGATCGCATTACCCAGCCAAGTAATTTGCGAGTACTGGCAGTCTGCGAGAGTGTCTGCTTAGGAAACAACCAGCAAGTACTGCATTTCATTTCCTCGTTTCCTGTCTTATAACAAGTTTAAAATGCTGTAAAAAAAGGGAAAAGAAGACGTGATTCTCAACAGTACATCGCCCAGATGGTCATCCGACCGCGAACTATGGCCCCAAGGGGATCTAACCCAGGCCTGTGCCTCGTTAAGAGAACAATATTGCAAGTCTGACATTGCTCTTAGCTACGGCACTACCCAGGTCTATGCTACGAATACCCTTAACTTTATACAGATTCCCACAATGAGACCAGCCCTAGTAGCGTGAGATTGCTTTTTGCATAAACATCAAGATATTATTTTCTCTTTTAACACATCTAGTATAATAATTAGAGCTGAAAGATAAAAAGACATCATGTTAATGTATGTAATCCCAAGAACAGTAGATGTAGTATAAACATGGAGATAAGAAATTCAATATTGCTTATCTCCGGTATCAGCCAAGTCACGAGACGATCTCCCGATCTCTCGTACCTGAACCAATGACAATAGAGGGAAAAGAAAAAAGAATACTACTTTGTACATCATACACCACCACAGGTCCCTCTCCTTCCTCCAAATATGAATACCTCCCCGCGCCGCCTCCTCTTCATAGCCTCAATAGGCAATCCAGCCCCCTACCACAACACCCGACACAGCGCCGGCCACCTCCTCCTCGACGCCTTAAAACCACTCCTCGAAACAACCCTCCCAAACACAGGCATCTACCACGAAACATGGCAAAGTCCATCCCTCATGAACATAACAGGCCCAAAACTCGTACGTCGGCTAGAACAATGGGCAACCGAGCGAGCAAGCCGTCTTGAAAGGATCGCCAATGTCGCCGCAACTCGTTCATCCTCGTCTTCAACTCCCCCAAACTTCCCTACACAAACTACATACCCCACAACCCTCGTCATCCTCCACGACGAACTATCTATTGCGCAAGGAAAGCTCCGTGTCATACGTGGCGGGCCTGAGACTTTTAGTTTGCGAGGGCATCGCGGTCTTATGAGTATCTGTGAGACACTGCGTAAGAAGGGATTGTATCCGCGCTCGTCTGGGGCGAGTAAGAATGTTACCGGGCCATTGGCGGATCTATCGATCTTGCGCGTTGGTCTTGGTATTGGTCGGCCGTCGTCACATGAGACGGCTGCTGTTTCGAAGTATGTGCTCGGGACTGTTACTGATCAGGAGCTTAAGGCTTATCATGCTGCGGCGATGCCTGTGGTGCAGACTATTCAAGACGAGCTTTTCAGACCTGCGGGGAAGGTCTGATGTTTGATATTTGGTGATGTATATAGTGTGAATTTTGTTGGAGTACAATACAAATTATACCCGCTTCTCCCAGCATGATGTTCATATGCGGCGAAGACATGGAATTGAAGGAATTGATGAAGAGCAATGTCAAAGCCAGCTCATGGATGTATTAAACATATACACAGAAGACACCTGGAAGGCAAATGAACAGCTGCCGATATCTATCGACAGAAGCAAAGAACAAGAAAAAGCACGAGTCTGTTGCACAGATCTCAACGCAGCAAAGAAAAATCCGGTATTATGCTAATAGAGTAGTCGATTTAAAAGGACGGCTCAAACGGTTCCAGCTATGCTCAAATCGCGAATCTCCTGTAACACCTCCTCAACCCGGTTATCCAGATCACCCTTAGCATACTGGTCGCGAGTCTCGGCGTCAAGATATTGCTGCACCTGCGCCATGCGGGAGTACGCCTCGGCACAGAAGCGTAGTTGGATCTTGACGAGAGCTTCGAAGCTGGGGTCGAGGTAGGGCACACGTAGGTCGATCAGCTGGGGAAGTTCGTTGAAGAGCTGCTCGTTCAGTTGCTCGTAAGCCTGCTTGGCCATCTCGGCTTCGCGCTCGGTCCGCGGCAGCTTGGTAACATCCTTGTCGGGCTTCTCGGCTAGCTTCTTGACCTTGGCGCGTATGGCGTCGTAGTCTAGTAGCTTGTGGTTGCGTTTTTTGATGCATTCGTTCACGTCGGGGAAGTAGGCGCAGAATCGGGAGATGGGATCGAGGACGGTGGTACTTTAGCTTTTATCAGCACCATTCATGTGTACTCGTCAGTAAAAAAAAAAAAGATCTCCTACCGGTATGGCCCATCCAGAGCCTTGATGGTCTCGGCATCAAGATCCTCAACGGCCTGCTTGTAGCTCCGGCTCACACCGTCTTTTGTTCCCGCATCGCCGTAGAAAGCATCAATGGTCTCCGCAATGCGCATTTGGGACGCCGTCATGGCTGGGGAAAAAAGTCAGCCAGTTGAACAACCAAATCCAACAATCCGCAAAGCAAAAGGTCACCCACCTCGTAGTGAATCCAGATACCCCTTCGCCTCCTTTTGCAACCGATTCGCGGCGGTCTCCATAGTCCGATAACGACTATAATGAACAAAATCAGCTCCCATCCCGGTATAACCATGAGGGAGCAGCAAGGACAACCATACCGTTCCTCGATCTCATAATCGCGATCATTCGTTCTCTCAACATGTCCTATACAATTACCGAATCAGCATGTTATTCACTTATTCGCATCCACGTGGCGCGGCAAGTAAATCGTAGGGCGTGGCGGGTAGCTAATCCGGGATCGTGTCCGATCGCCCTCTTTCGATTCATTGCGGGGTAGAACTCGACCAACTCACCCGTCTTCATCATCACCTGTGTCGTCGCACGGTTGACATTCTTCTTGAACCCTATCCATCCAAGCAGTTAGATTCGCTCAAACTGGCACCGGTCCATGAGTCCGAGGGTCTTGATGGGATGAGGCGTACCTGCCCAAGACATGGTGGCGGTGTGGTTCGGGGGACCCGGAGATGAGGATTGGCTTTTGAGTTGGTGTGGGTTATATGTTGCAAGTGGGTATGGGATAGAAGTGAGTCGTAGATTCCAGTTGACTGCTGCAAAGAATCTCTGGAGTTAAGCTGCAGGGAAAGTGAAGGTCCCGAACCCAATGCCAAGGGTAGCCGACATGGTCTGCCTTACGGGTTTGTGTGGCTGTGTGTGGCTGTGTAAATATGCTTATGTCATATTTTCCGGATGCGGGTACGTCATGTTTGGTAGGGCTGGAGTCTACGGGAGTACGAGGTACCCACATCAAGGTTGCATTATTCAGGTTCTGCGAAGGTCTGTTCGAGTTTTTTTTTTCTTTTCTTTTTTCTTTTTTCTTTTTCTTTTTCTTTTTTCCTTCTAGGTTCTCTGCAAAGATACAAGCACTGGTAATACTAGGTAAATCATGCCAAGGTATATAATGTATAGCTATATGTAGGTATCATGTTGGGACATTGGGACATTCCTACTCAAACCAGGTGTATATAGCCGCTTAACGCTGGTTGGCAAGCAATCAAGAGAGAGATAATCAAACTCCATTTTAACATAATTACCCCTTACGCCTTTATCAGTAGCATAGTGTAGGGATAGTGTAGGGCTGGGCCTTACATCCGCTGCAATACGCCTGCATGGCATGTGCATATTGAGGTATTCCACTTATCCACTTCGCCTAGGCTGTAATGTTGATGCCTAAGTAACTGAGTTATGTGTAGGTCTTGGCAGACAATCTTATGGCATTGCCAAGTGGGAATAACTGCAACTTGAGTTCGCTCAGGTTTTACTCTGGGATCCCTTTTTTGGGTTGGTTACTTGGATTGGGTATCTGGACGAAAGAAGTTGGAAAGTCGGAATCCACCTCATTAGCTGCATGTTCTGTATTACCGAGTTCCGTACAGACCGCAAGGCATGCAGTAATTAGAAGTTACAAGATGCATGTGTGAATAATGTGAATAATGTGAATAACCTTCCAAGGAACTAACTAGACTGTGCTAACTAATATGAATCTGAAATATGACACACCCTAATCCATCAGACCGCTGGGGCTTGGTTTTTTTGGTTTTTTTTTTTTCTCGTTAGCGTACGGAGGATGCAAGGATAATTATCGTCGGAAAATACCTCCAGATTGAATGATATCACGGGTCCTGATGCGTTGGAAAGATATCGGGGCTAATCTACTACATCGTGCTGATGATCGTCTCATGACAGTTGTGGACCTTACATTGGGTCGATAGGCGCCGATCTTCGGATTGATGTCATAGTTTTTGGAGGCTGTAGATTGTGAACTTGGATGTTGTGCCTGTTAGTTGTAAAAGGGGAAATAGGACTTTGGAACGAACCTGGCATGCTGGGATAATGAAAGTGCACCTTGCTACGTGGAACCAAGTCACATGTAACAGAATTCAAAATGCCTAAGCCATATATACACAAAGCATCGGTAATATGTACTAGAATCCGACGTCGAAACGAGAAAAGCCAAAGCAAAAAGGTTTGGATAACCTCCAGTGTAGGACATCTCACTTAGGTACCGATTCCTGTTCCTGTTTCTGTTGCTGTTGCGGGCAGCAGAGCCTCTGCCTACAATCATATTGATAAGGAACCCCAGAAAACAGGACCTGCAACCCAAATAAGAATATGCCCCTTATTCGCCCGCTAAAGCTGGGCTCGTCATAGTGGTACAAGGTAAGAAAGTTCAAATGGGGAATTTCCCGCCAACGCCAATAGAAACTTGAAGGTATCTGCCAAAATCCCGGCAACGCGAAAAAAAAAAAAAAAAAGGACCGGATGAGATAAACTCCGAAAGATTGTAAAGAAAAACCGGATCAAAAGAAAAGGGTCATGATTCTTCGTTGCATTGACGTTGAAGACATGAGGATCCAAACAGAAAGACAAGCTAAAAGATGGATCGATGTAATAGAGCACAGGCTGAAGAGGCTGCAGGGGTACAGTATGCGCCGGAGCCAACAGGATAAAACGGGGGAGAAAAGGCAAACATAGAACCTTCGTATGGGGCCTCCTCCTAATTTAGGAGCATTCAAAGGATAAAAACCAGTAAGCATCTCCTTGAATGGGTCTATGATAAATAACCACCCTGTGATGCAAAATGTGAAAGAACGATTTTCGGTCACATCAAACCTTGGAGGGGCGGGCTTGTGACCTCAACACCTGACAATTTTCGTGTTGAAACGATCAAAACCCTTCCTCGCCAGCCTTGCACAGCTTGATCTGGCGTACCCATTCGGATTTGAGGACCTGTGAGGCATTGATGCGGCGAGAAGGATTGGGATCAAGGATGGAGTAGATCACGTTGCGACAACGAGCCTGAGAAGTTATAAGTGTTGGCCCCGCAGTCGCAGAAGGGGGATTAGCTGTTCTTACCCGATGTAACGTCTCGATGGGAGCGTATCCATCCTCATGTTTGCGACCGTCTAGGTACCGCTGGTAAAATTCGTCCTCGTCCTTGCGCGCCACGCGCCAAAGATGCCGTCCGGTGCGCATGGCCATGTAGATCACCCCGGTCGCCCAGAGATCAACTGCTCGGGGATCGAATTCCCTCTCAACGTATTCCTCCGGGGCGATATATGGAGCGGAACCGCAGAGTCCGGCGGTCATATGGGCTTCCTTCTCCCAGGCCATACGGAAGCATTCACCGTTACCAAAATCGGTGATCTTGAGTGCACCGTGAGTGGTCAGGAGCAGATTTTCGGGCTTAAGGTCGCGGTGTGCGACACCCATTTCGTGCATATACTCAACACCCCGCATCAACTGCTTGAAAAAGCAGTCGGCTTCGGCGACTTCTAACTTGCCGGCAGCAAGGACCAGGGTGTACAGATCGCCACCAGCGCAGTATTCCATGACTTCACAGTAATCTCCCTTGGCATCTTGCAAGAGGTCCAAAGTGTGAATGACGTTCGGGTGACGAAGTGACGATGAGATGCAAAATTCAGAAGTCAGTCGTTTTTGATATTTCTTGGTCGTTTCTTGAGGCCGGCGACGGAACTCCTTAACAGCATACAGCTGTTCACACTTGGAATCTTGAGGGTCGACCTTGTGCGAGATACGCACAATACCGAAAGCACCGCGACCCACAATTTCCTGGCACTTGCCGTACTTGTCAACCAGAGAAGCAGTGGCATTCGGGCCACCCTTCTTATCTGCAGCCAGCTTATCACGCTCCGTCTTGAACTGATCAATCCAGGTTGACATCAGCGACAACTGTTGCTCATCCACCTGGTCATCCTTTTTCCGGCCACCCATCATATCCCGCAGTAGATCGGTAAGCTTCTCTTGCCGTCTAGCACTTCTGAGGTTATGTGAGTGGTTGCCGAGAGATTCCGTCAGAACCTCGAATCGCTTGTGTACTGAAGCACCGTCTTTTGTCTTCTTATCATCCATCTTCTTCTTGTCGGGCTTCTCCACGGCTTCGCTCTTGAGTGACGGGTTTCGTGATGGTGCTCGAGAATTCTCTCCTCTTGAGGGAGGTCTAGAAGGAGGTCTAGAGGCGGGTCGAGATGGTGGCTTCGAAGTCCTACCGTTGAGAGGCTGGATACTTTCCAAGCTACTGTCTGATAGATCACGAGGAACTTCGTTATTCTCTCTGGTTGGTGTGTTTTTCCCCGTGCTGGAGAACATGCGCGTGAGGCGAGCGGCCATGGTGGCTTTCGTCGGCTTGCCGGCGGGAGATAATGCCGGAGCAGGGAGGGCGTCCCCGTTTGCGTGGGCGGCCAGATTCATGCCCGCAAGGGCGCGTGCTACCGAAGCATCTCCATCCCGAGGATCATTCGAGTGTTGTGAAGCTGAGGCGGAAGAGACTGCGGAAGGCACAGGTGAAGGGGAAGGTGGAGTCATGTGCGATGGATCGACAGGTGAAGATTGGAAGAATGAGGGGTGGGACGTAAAATTCTCCGTCCCCAGATTGGAAGACGAGGGTCTACAGCTCGCACGAAGCTGCGGCGGATTGAGACGGTCTTAACAGTAAAGATAAAAAGAAGTGAGAGGAGCGAGGCGAGAGAGGGAAAAAAAAAAGTAGACCGAATTATGGCCTGAGGCAACGAGGGCAAAAGGTGACGACACAAAGAGGTAGGGAAATATTGGAAGCACCGCACACCAAAATGATGCCCTCTGGCAAAGGAGGAGCCCCTGGAGTATATAGACAGAATAAAAGAGGAGAGAGGAAAAAAAAGAATTAAAAGAAAGAGAAGCAAGTGGGAAATAAGTGGGATAAATTTGGCGATGCTAGAGGAACTTGAAATACCATCGGGGGGAAATCCTTGGTGTATGGTAATATATTACATAGCTTAACTAAAAATTTATAAAATTCATAAGAAAATTAAAATAAAAATAATAAAAAATTGAAATATTAGAATAACTCCATATCGAGAGAAGGGGGAAAATGTGGGCACTGCAACGGTACAGGTTACCCTCGAAGATTATTAATGCTTGTAAATGACGGTGGCCGCGGGCTCCAGGGCTCACTCCAGAGTGTTTCTATGCGATTCCGGTCTTGACCTATAGGGCTACATACTGCATACGGCGACTCCGGCGCTGTGAGACCTAACAAACCTAGATGCATCTAGGGCTATTAGTATTCATGCTTGTACTCTGTAAAGTCGAGATATATTTTAGTACACATTCTTTACTAAAAAGTGGCGCATGATACATTACGGGAGTACGGAGTACAGATAGACTAGATGGAAAGGATTCCCGAGGTCCGTTCCGATGCTTTATAATATTAATTTTTTTGGTGAGAGATTTAATGGTAATGAAACATTGAAGTAATCCATAGTAATTAGTATAATAAGTAATGAAAGTACGGTTTTTTTTTTTTTTTTCAACCCTGGAACTGGGTCTCTCCCGAGTCCCTCTTTGAAGATTGAGCAATACATGGTATTATTTGATCTTTACTAGTATTAATGACGTTGAGTTGATGTGACGTCTTTGGATCTTGCTACATATGTGTGTGGTAGGATACTATTATCTAAATGTACACGGTTATCCTATTAGATATTATAGAATATTAGAAAATACAAGAGAAA